AATCTTTAAAAAAAAAAAAAAGACTGTTCTTTCTCCATTGAAGTTTTGGTACCCTTACCGAAAATCAATTGACCATAGATGTGTAGATCAATATCTGGCTCTCAATTCTATTTCATTGATCTATATGTTATCCTTATGGCAGTATCACATTATTTTGATTACAGTAGCTTTGGAGTGCTATTTAAATCAGGAAGTGTGAGTTCTTTTATTTTGTTCTTTTTCAAAATGACTCTGGCTGTTCTGGGTCCTTTGCAATTCCATGTGAATTTTAGGGTCAGCTTTTATATTTCTATAAGAATCTATTGGGATTTTGGTGGGGATTGCATTGAATCTATAGACCATTTTGGAAATACTGCTATTGTTAACAATATTAAATCTCCCAATCCATGAGCATGGGATGTATTTCCATTTATTTAGATCTTCTTTAATTTCTTTCAGCAGTGTTTGTTAGTTTTCAGCATACATGTCTTTGACTTCCTTGGTTAAATTTATTCCTAACCATTATTTTATTTTATTTTGTTTATTTATTTATTTATTTGAGAGAGAGAGAAAGCATGCACATGGCGGGGGAGGGGCAGAGGGAGAGAGAGGGCTCCATCTCATGACCCTGAGATCATAATCTGAGCCGAATTCAAGAGTGGGATGCTTAACCAACTGAGCCACACAGGCGCCCCCATTTTATTATTTTAGATGCTATTGTAAGCGGGATTGTTGTAACTTCATTTTTGGATTGTTCGCTGTTAGTGTAGATAGGTATAACTGATTTTTGTGTGTTGATCTTGTATCCTGCAACTTTGCCAAATTCATTTATTACCACTAATAGTTCCTTCGTGGATTCTCTACGATTTTCTATATATAAGACTATGTCATTTGTAAATAGAGATAATGTTATTTCTCCCTTTCCAATTTGGATGCCTTTATTTCTTTTTCTTGTCTAATTACTCTAGCTAGAACTTCTGGTACAACGTTGAATAGAAGTAATGAAAATGGGCATCCTTGTCTTGTTCCTGTTCTTAGGGACAGGCTATCACTCTTTCACCATTGAGTATGATGTTAGCTGTGACTTTTTATCAGGTTGAGGAGGTTCCCTTCTATTCCAAGTTATTTGAACTTTTTTATTTTATCATGAAAGGGGGCTGGATTTTGTCAAATACTTTCTCGGCATTCATGGAGATGATCGTGTGGCTTTTTTCCATCTTTCTGTTAATGTGGTGTATTATGCTCATTGATTTTCATATGTTGAACCAACCTTGCATTCCTGGGATAAATCTCACTTGATCATGGTGCATAACCCTTTTCCTGTGCTGGTGAGTTTAGCTTGCTAGTATTTTGTTGAGGATTTTTGTCCCCAAGTTTATCTTTAAAAGGTGGCTGAGCATCGTGGTTAGGAAACAGAAGTCAGATCAATCTCATTCTCATCTTAATTCTGCCACTCGCTTATTGTAATGGGTGTGTTGACTAAGGTTCAGTTTCTTTGTCTATACAATGGGTTCATAAGCATATCCACCTCCTGGGATGATTGTGAGGATTCCAACAAAGGATGGACAGATTTACTGGGACACCTTTGTGGTGTTTCCCTGTGCCTGGCTCTTGGGCTGGCTCCCTGTGTTGTATGCCTTGCATATATTAGTTCATGGATAAATCTTGCAACAACCCTGTTAAGTGAGTGCCGTTAGGGCCCCCATTTTACAGACAAGGAGGCTTGGGCACCAAGAGGTGACGTGGATCTCTTGAGAACACACAGCTGGAAAGCAGGAAGCCAGCATCATTGTGGCCTTGGAGCCTCTCAAGTAGGCACTCAATGGGGGCTGTTGTTTTCACCCCCAACGTTTTATGACAAAATGTTTTCAAGCACGTAGGGAAGCCGAAAGACTTGTATGGTAACCAGTCCCCTGTACACCCACCACCCAGATCCTGCCATTAGGTCTGTCTGCGCTTACTCTATCGCTCATCTGTCCGTCCCATTTTTGACGCATTTCAAAGTTGCAGACATCAGAATACTTCCCCCAGACATTTCGAGCATGCATACCGTAAAGTAGAATTCATTCATTTCCCACTCATTTTCTTTTAAAGTCAAATACATGCTGTGCACAGACCCAAGTATGTTAACAACTACATATACTTGTGCAACCCAAGCCCCCATCAAGACCTAGAACATTCCTCCACTCCAACCAAGCCTCCTGCCCCTTCCCAGTGAGTTCCCACCCCCACCCCTACCCCCTAAGGAACAGCCACGCTTCGGACTTTTTTCACCACAGATTAGTTTTGCTGGTTTTAGAACTTCATATAAAGGGAGCCATACAGCACTGCACTCTTGTTTCTGGCTGTTTTCACTGGGAGCTGTCATCTGTGTCCCTCCGGGTGCAGATGCACACGGAGTCCCGAGGTGGGGGCGGGGGACTTGTCCAGGATCACCCGACACACCGAGCGGGTGGCACCCGGGGCTTTGGCGTCTGGCCTGCACAACGCCGCCTCTCCACGCCCGGCCTGACCTATCTTCCCACAGGGCGAGAGGCTGAGCCACGCCGTGGGCTGTGCCTTTGCGGCCTGCCTAGAGCGGAAACAGCGGCGGGAGAAGGAATGCGGGGTCACGGCCGCCTTCGACGCCAGCCGCACCAGCTTCGCCCGCGAGGGCTCCTTCCGCCTGTCCGGCGGCGGGCGGCCCACTGAGCGAGAGGCCCCCGAGAAAAAGAAAGGTGGGTGCTGCCCAGAGGGCATGCAGTTTGGGGGGAGAGCGGCAGAAGCCCGGGGAGTCTGCACTTTACAAAGCACAGCACCAACCACAGGGTTTGGTTACAGTTTACAGAGCTCACTTCTATTGGGCAATAGTGCGCAGGCCACAGATTCCAGCAAAACTCACCAGCGCTCCATTATCTGCTAAGTCAGGGACGCTCGGAGGCATTTCAAATTGTGTATCAAGGCCAGTTAATGGCTTGTGAAGTCAGCTTGGTGGATTGTGGCTGGCTGGCACTGAAAAAAACTGAAATAGAAAAGAACAGAAAATATCAGATTAGCTGAATGTATTAAGGTAAATGTAGTTCAATGATACTTTTATTTCAGTGTATGTCTTTGCGTGTGTGTGTGTGTGTGTCTGTGTGTGTGAGACAGCTTACTGTGTAAAAGGTTTTTCTTACTTTGGGTTGCCATCAAGAAAAATATCTGGTAATCTCTAACATTCTAGGTTAGTGGCAAATATTTTGTAAACTCTAAAACAGTGTGGTTTTTATTATTTTTTTTTGAGAGAGAGAGTGTGAGCAGGGGTAGACAGAGAAAGAGACAGAATCCCAAGCAAGGGGGTGACTGGGTAGTTCAGTCGGTTAAGTGTCTGCCTTCCGCTCAGGTCATGATCCCAGGGTGCTGGGATCGAGTCCCGCATCAAGCTCCCTGCTCAGCGGGAAGTCTGCTTCTCCCTTTCCCTCTGCCCCTCCCCCACTCGTTCTTGCCTGTGCTCTCTTTCAAATAAAAAAAAATTTTTTTAACACTGTCTGGGCCATAGCAGAACCCAGAGAATATATTCTTTTAATTGAAAAATTCTAGGTGCTTCATAAAAAAACTTTTTTTTAAAGATTTTATTTATTTATTTGAGAGAGAGAAAGTAGAAGCGGGGTGGGAGGGAGAAGCACAGGGAGAGGGAGAAGCAGACACCCTGCTGAGCAGGGAGCCCGATTGGGGACTTGATCTTAGGACCCTAGGATCAGACCTGAGCTGAAGGCAGATGCTTAACCAACTGAGCCACCCAGGTGCCCCTCTCTCAAAATCTTAAAAAAGAAAAGAAAAAAAGAAGCCCAAGCGGGCTCCACTGGGCTCGATCTCACAACCCTGAGATCATGACCTGAGCCAAAATCAAGAGTCAGTCACTTAACCAACTGAACCACTCAGGCACCCCTAAAACAGTGTGTTTTTTAAAATATAAGTATACTGTGTTCTGAGTCACAGTATTTTTTTTTTTTAATGTGGATTCTAGTTTTTAAATTTTTGGAAAACACTGCTTAAAATTTACAAAGAACTTACAGTGGGGAACTGACCCAGATTAAAGGAGACTAAAGAGATTTGACAAGTAGTAATAAATGCACGGTGTGATCCTGAATTGGATCTTAGATGATCTCCATCTATAAAGAGCATCTCTAAGGGACATGATCGGGAAAGTTGGGGACATTGGAACACGGACCACAGATTAGCTCATCGTCTTGTACCCACGTTGGATTTAATTGTACTGTGGTTCTGGAGGAGGCCGTCCTTGTTCTTAGGAGGTATATGCTGGAGGTTTTAGAGTGAAGGATGTTGCCTACAATTTGCACTTGAACGGTACAGGAAAAAAAATTGTGGAAGGGAAGAGAGATCAAATGAGTTAACTGTGGGGAGCATAAGTTAGGAGAACATGTGGGCTCAGTGTTCCATGATTACATCTTGTTTGTAAGTTTAAAATATTTCTAACAAAACAAAATAAAAAATTAAAATAAAATATTTCTAACTAAAAAGTTAGGAAAACAAGTTTTTATCACTAGAATATTAGAGCGTCCAGAGTATATTTCTTTGTATAAATTACATTTACATACCTCTTAACAAATTTACAAGTTTTTCACAGATTACAAAGTATTTTACTGTTTACATCATCTATTCGAATTTGTAAAGTATTTTACCATCTGCCAAGCAGATGACAAAATGAAGTTAACAGTGGGCCTGATCGAGTATATGATGTTTTAGTGCTTACAAAAGAACAAACTGGGTCCACGGTTCTTCACAGTGTACAGATGTTTATAGAGGCTGTTGGCATTTACAAGGAACGTGCATTCACTTTAGAGTTTGCAAAGGGTTTTGCTGTTTCCAAAGGATGTGATCATTTCTAGGTACTTTGCAATGTAGAAGGCATTCACAGCTTACACAGCAAAATGAGAGTTTACAGAGTGTGGTATGATTTGCTGAACACACCACTCAGCATTTCGCTGTAGATGTGCTGATTTACAGCCTCAAGGCACCGTGCTTGCCCTTCGACAAGGAGCTCCTTCCAATTTAGGAGTGACGGAGCAGTGCGCACTTTCCACAAAGAATGGAGGGGCTGCAATAATCTGGAAAATTCCCCAGAGGAAGAAGTGTGCCAAGCTGGGTCTAGAATGCTAAGTAGCAACTGGAGGAAGGGGCAAAGTACCTGAGTTGGGAAGAATGGTGGGAAGTGGAGAGAAAGAATTGCAGACAGAATGACAGGAAGATAGCATGATGTGGAGAGAGCAGGCCAGAGGGAGAGGCAGGATTAGGGTATTCGTTTAGGACACAGACTGGAGTCAGCCTGCCCCTTCCTAGCATTGTGGCTTCAGCAGAGTCACTTACCATTGCTGGGCCTCGGTGTCCACATCTGTAAAATGGGGATAATGCTCATATCAGCCTCACTGGGTAGCTGCGAGAATCGAATGACTCCATACTTGCCAGGCACTTGAAACAATGCCTGATACATGCGTCACGCACCAAATACGTGTTCGTTAAATTAATCAGAAAGGGAGACAGAAGGTCTCAGAAGGGAAAACAGCGGAAGCAGCAAAGAAAGCCAGACTGGGGCCAGAAAGCGAGAGATACCCAGAAGGTGAGGTTGGAGGAGGAATCCCCGAGGGCCTCCTGGGGCAGGCGGTAACTGGCGTGGTGGGGATGAGAGACATTTCAGGGCTCTGACCAGCCTGTCGTGAGGACAGGCAGGACACAGTGGGTGAGGAAGGCAGCACTGGAAGATGATCAAGGGGACTTGGTGGGAGAGGAGCGAATGCCTAGGTGGGGTATCTAACCACCTGTCTCCCCCATGTCTCCAGCAGAGGCAGCAGCTGCCCCAACTGCGGCGCCCGGCCCTGCCCAGCCTGGGCACGTGTCCCCGACACCGGCCACCACATCCCCCGGTGAGAAGGGTGAGGCGGGCACCCCAGTGGCTGCAGGCACCAGTGCGGCCGCCATCCCCCGACGCCACGCCCCCCTGGAACAGCTGGTTCGCCAGGGCTCCTTCCGTGGGTTCCCGGCACTCAGCCAGAAGAACTCACCTTTCAAACGGCAGCTGAGCCTACGGCTGAATGAGCTGCCATCCACACTGCAGCGCCGCACTGACTTCCAGGTGAAGGGCACAGGTGAGCCCGGGGGCTCAGCCGGAAGGAACATCAGGAGCAATACCATACCGCCGTCCGTAGTGAATACCAGGGAGGGAAGAGGTGGTATACACCTTGATCGATTAGCACTGTCTGCCAGGGGAAAGGAAAGAGAGGTGGAACACATCGTGGTCGATTGGCGATTAGCCGCATCTGCCGCCAGCAAGGGAGAGAGCGGTAGTATAAATCATGATCGATTAGCAATGTCTACTGTTGGCAAGGAACAGCAGAAGGATGGCACAAGCCTCGATCGATTCGTAATGTCTGCTGTGGTTAGGGACATGAGAGAGGTGGCTTTCATCACGATTGATTAGCAGAGTCTGCCAGGGGCTCGGGAGAGGGGAGAAGCTGCCTAGATGCCATTGTTTGCTCAGGAGGAGGCTGAGACTCCAAGCATTTGGCCATTGGAGCCATAAGATCTAGCTAGATGAAGGATACAGGCTCAGACAAAGGGAGGATTGCGACGGGTTAACAATGTCTGCCTGAGGCAGGGAGAATAGAATGACAGCATATGGCACGATCTCCTGACAGGGTCTGCCATGAGCAAGAAAAAGGAGCGAGGTGGCACACCGTATGATTAATTAGTGAAGGTTGCCATGGATAAGGGAGAAGAGAGAGCAGCAGAATTTTATGTTAGCTCAAGGAGGGGCTCCCAGAATTTGGCCAGTGGAGACAGGAAGTGAAGAGCACACATGAGCATGGGGGTCAGGGGTCAAGGCGCATAGTGACGGGTTTGCAATGTCACTGGCAGGCAAAGGATCAGGCAGAGGCAGCACCCATCATCGTTGGCCAGCCATGTCTTCCAGGGACAGTGCTGAAGAAAGAGGGGACACATCATCATCGATTAGCCATGTCTGCTCTGGGTGCTGCTGGGAGAGGCAATGGAGCTGTTCTGTTTTTCTTAAAGGGGAGATGGAATTGCAAGGACCAGTGCTCTCTCTTAGCCATGAGGTCTGGCCAGGTGAGGGGGAAGGCGAGCAGAGTTCAGTGGGGAAAAAGCATCGTGTTTGATTACTCATGTCTGCCACAGGCCAGAAAAAGGAGAGAGAGCTGGCATAGGTCATGATCTAAAAGCCACGTCTGCGTGGGAAAGGGGGAAGAGAGGTGGCCCAGTGCCGTGTTCTGCCCGAGGGAGACAGGCAAGAGGGCTGCCTTTCCTCCCAGCTGTCCGTGAAGTCACGGGGTCTGGCCCGCTTTCCTGCTTCCGTATGCCAGATCGGAGACGCCCACCTCTTATGGCCTCGGGGACTGGCGTGGGAGGTGTTGATCTGTGTCCGGAAGGCTGGGCCGCTCCCAAAGGTGACTGCTAAGCAGATGCCAGTGCTGGTCGAGAGTGACGCACAAGCGCTCCCTGTCCTGCAGCGTCCCTCGGCAGTCACACCCCCTCGCGCTTGCTGTCCTCATGCAGCCTGACACGAGCACGCTCTCTGGCTGCCCCTGATTTGGAAGCTTCATGCGCCTGGAACCAGTGGCACACTTGCTTGGGTGTGACCTGCCCCCCAGAACTTTCAGATCCATAGGAGTCACAGGTGCCACACACAGAAGTCACACACTCAATGTGACTCAGAAGTCACACACCCTCGGAAGTCACAGAAGCCGATGTTTCCATTGACACACACTTGGGCACGTATCCAGATAGCCCACGAGGAGGTACACACACTCACAAACCACACACCCGGATTCACGCAAACTCGAAAGACACATCTCAGATTCACACGCGCTTGCAAAAACATTTGTGTGTCACACGGGGGTGGCCGGATTGGCTCACGCTTGGGAAGCACAAGCAAGACGCCACGTGCCTGGATTTTGGTCACCCTGAGATGTCACACCTTCAGAAAGCTGCACACCCATTTGGACTAATCCGGTCATCCTAGAATTGACCTGGAAACCGCTGCCCTTCCCACCTGGGCACCCCCACATCACACCTGTGAAGCCCTACAGCCGATTTCTTTCTGATGCTCATCAGAGCATCACACAGGTTCGCTTGGAGACAACCGCTTGCTGAGACACCACACCCCAGTGGTATTTCTCTGTCGTTTGTTTGGTGTGGTTTGTTTGTTTTTTTTAATATTCTGCATTTATGACACTATTTTATTTTTTGAATATTTTATTTATTTGAGAGAGAGAGAGAGCACAAGTGGGGGGAGAAGCAGAGGGAGAGGGAGAGGCAGACTCCCCACTGAGCAGGGAGCCCGTCGCGGGGCTCGATCCAGGGCCCTGGGATCATGACCTGAGCCGAAGGCAGACGCTTAACCGACTGAGCCACCCAGGCGCCCCTCTGTTGTTTATTCAGATGACACCTTTGTTCATCCCAAGCCCTTGTGAGGCCACCATACCCGCTCAGGTTTTCCTGGCTGGCTGGAACAGGTGCATCTCTGCCCTCATGATGTATGCTCTTGGCCAGGCCAGGTGTGGTGGACAGGGCCCCGCTTCTCCACCCAAAGCCGGACAAGTGATCCCCAGCTGGTGCACAACAATGGGGCCAGCATCCATCCTGACAAGTCAGTCCTCTTGCCGTCTATGTGGTTGGACGTATTTTTAACTAATATATATTGGTAAACATTTAAAATATTTCTTCTGGTTTGTAGCCATACCCAGATCTCGAGGTCCTCCTTGGTGTGGGGGTCCCTGTGACTCTTGGCCAGCACATGTCCCATACCACTTGGCTGTTGTGTCACTCAGGTGTAACATCTGCACAGAGTTAGCCTATGTATGGCCACGGCCGATTGGTTACCGCAGAGTGGACCCATGACCCACACACCCCACGATGCCAGGTCGTCAGAGGGGGCCACCTGAGGGCACGGGGCTGAGGGCAGGGCCCGGGCCTCTTCGCTGACCTCCACCCTTCCCTGACTTCCCAGTGCCCGAGATGGAGCCTCCCGGGGGCAGTGACAGTGATAGCATCAATGCTCTGTGCACACAGATCAGCTCATCCTTCGCCAGCACCGGAGCTCCAGCACCCGGGCCACCGCCGGCCTCAGCAGGTAAGCCCAGCCCAGCTCCTGCAGCAGCCGCCCGGCAGTGCCCCGCCTGCAGCCCCGGTCAGGGCTACCTCCCGGACGCCGGGAACCTGGGAATCCCACGAGCTTAGAACCATGGATCATCTAAGGGCTATGGGACCATCCTAGCACCATGGAGTCCGTTTCGAGCCTTGGATCATCTTAGAATCCCAGGGTCATCTCAGAGCCATGGGTTCATCCTAGAACCAGGAGGTAACATTAGAATCACGGGGTCAACTTAGAACCACGGGATCAATTTTATTTTATTTTATTTTTTTAAGATTTTATTTCTTTATTTGACAGAGCGAGACACAGCAAGAGAGGGAACACAAACAGGGGGAGTGGGAGAGGGAGAAGCAGGCTTCCCGCTGAGCAGGGAGCCTGATGTGGGGCTTGATCCCAGGACCCTGGGATCATGACCTGAGCCGAAGGCAGACATTTAACTGACTGAGCCACCCAGGCGCCCCCCACGGGATCAGTTTTAAACCTTCCTGTCTCAGAACCATAAAATTTAGAAACCTACAGCCTTAGAATCACAGGATATTAGAACCTCCAGATTGGGAACCATGAAACCTTGGAATCACCCTAGAGCCATGAGCTTATCCTAGAACCATGGAAGCACCTGGAACTGCAGTATAAATTGAGAACTCTAGAATCTTCGAAAGCACAACCTTAAAACCACCGAACCTCGCTCACTATGTTGGAACAGTACAGTACACTCTGAGAAAGATCCATGCAATCTTAGAATCCTAGCCTCCCAAAACGATGCATTGTCAAAATAATCAGAACTAAGGGTGCTATTGAAAATATTTAGTAACGGGATGCCTGGGTGGCTCAGTCGGTTAATCTGCTGCCTTCGGCTCAGGTCATGATCCCAGGGTTCTGGGATCGAGTCCCGCATCGGGCTCCTTGCTCAGTGGGGAGCCTGCTTCTCCCTCTGCCTGCAGCTCCCCCTGCTTGTGCTCTCTAACAAATAAATAAAAATCTAAAAAAAAAAAAAAAATTTAGTAACAAGTTTGGCACTGACCAATCAGAAGGGAAGCTGGGCTGGTGATTGTCAGTCTCGCCCATACTCTTCCATCTTAGGACCTGATAATCCCAGAACTATGTTTTCTGAGCACTTCGGAACCATTCCGTGGTGCAGGGTGGTTAAGCCATTTGCCCCGAAGTCGACACAGCTAGTGAGGAGCGGAGCTGGATGCAAGGAACACAGCTGCAGGGTCCAACCCCCAGCCTAGGGATCTCTCAACTGTCCCCTCTCCTCTCTCTAGGAACTTCTGCCTGGGGTGAGTCCTCCGTGCCCCCTGCAGCGGCCTTCCAGCCCGGGCATAAGCGGACCCCTTCGGAGGCCGAGAGGTGGCTAGAGGAGGTGTCCCAGGTGGCCAAGGCGCAGCAGCAGCAAGCGGCCTCCGTGCCCCCCATGGCCCCCGCCCTGCAGCCCTTCCCCGCCCCCGTGGGGCCCTTCGATGCCGCGCCCGCCCAGGTGGCCGTGTTCCTGCCACCCGCACACATGCAGCCCCCTTTTGTGCCCGCTTACCCGGGCTTGGGCTACCCGCCCATGCCCCGGGTGCCCGTGGTGGGCATCACACCCTCACAGATGGTGGCCAACGCCTTCTGCTCAGCCGCCCAGCTCCAGCCCCAGCCCGCCACCCTGCTCGGGAAAGCCGGAGCCTTCCCGCCCCCGGCCATGCCCACTGCCCCCGGGGGCCAGGCCCGCCCACGCCCCAATGGGGCACCCTGGCCCCCGGAGCCGGCCCCTGCCCCGGCCCCTGAGTTGGACCCCTTTGAGGCCCAGTGGGCAGCATTAGAAGGCAAACCAGCTGTAGAGAAGCCTTCCAACCCCTTCTCGGGCGACCTGCAGAAGACCTTCGAGATTGAACTGTAGCCCGCGCCGCCCTGCCCGCCCCAGCATCTCTGGGTGCCCCACACATGGGCGTGGAGGCCCAACCTCTCCCTAGTCCCGGCCCCTGGGGCTGCGCCCCCCCCAACACCCCCTCTAGCCCCTTCTCTTGATCACCCCCCACAACCACTACAGAACCGACGTTGTACGCCCAGATTGCGACAGGATGGAATTCAGGGATGGACCCGGCCTGCCTACGGGACCCATTTCACTGCCAGACTTAAGCTGGCAATGCCCTTCCCCCCACCCCCCACCCCCACCCCAGACACAATGGGATGGCCACAGTCCCACTGAGTGCCCTCGGTTCAAGCGACACATCCCAGTTTCTGTTGTTGACCTTCCACCTTCCAGTGTTGGGTGGGATGGAAAAGGGATGCCCACTTTGGGACTCCTCTGGGCCCCACACGAGGGCCCACCCCAAGTCTGGTCATCCCCTCCCATACACAGCACAAGCAAAGGGCTTCCCTCTGCCCACCTGCTGCGTTCACTGCCAATGCTGTGCTCACCCCTATCACCCCTCTCCCCCACTTGGGGGGGGGCCACATCTTCCTTGGGCCAAGGTCTCATGGGGGCGGGGGCCAAGTTGGGGGCCCAGGAGGCGGGGTAGGAGGAAGGGGAAGGAGATGCTCAGTTACCTCACGTCAGTGCCCGCTGGGGAGGGGTCCGGGACGAATGGGGGGGTGCCTGGCGGGTACTTTTCTATCTTTTATTTCCAGATTTTTTTGTATCTAAACTTACAGATTTGTATTATACAAGGACAGCCAATAAAGGAAGAATATAATGATGGCCCTCGGGACAGCGGGGTGTGTGTCGGGGTGGGGGGGAATGGTGTGGTGGCAGAACCTTACCTCCTGCGCCATCTCTTAAAACAAGAGGGAGTACAAAGGGTCTCCCTGCACCATAATCTCTGAGTCATAACATGATAGCAGGGAATGCTGACCCAGCATTTGAGAGGTGGGTATTAAAGGGGACCCAAAATTAATCACCCCAATTTCTAATTCTTACAGATTTTGAACCAAGGAATTCAAAAAATTATAACCTGCTTCTAATCAGTTCAGTATTGAAACGCTATTTTTATGTATTTTTTTTTAGTTCAGTATGGAAATTTTCAATAACCAGGTTTGGAACAGATCTTTGATTGAGCTGGAAAATTCTTGTTTGGTCAAGTGCATTTTCTGTAACTTAGGCCAAAGTGTCATCTGACATGGCAGCATGTTGCTTTTTAAGTCTCTTGTTTCTTGGGTCCCTTGATATCATCTACAAGTTATATATTTTAAAATAGGTAACATACAAATTATATGTTTAATTCTTTATAGCTCTTGAAAATGAGGTGTCTGATTTTGTGAAACCCAGTATTACACCCCCAGCTGATGGATTGGGAAGTTCAGTCACTTGCCCAAGGCCACACACCTGATCCGCGGGGGAAGCTGTGATGAACCCAGCTCCTGGCCAACCTCAAGGCCAATCATTAAACCACCAGGCTGCAAGGGAATAAGCTTAAGGTCCACCCTTAAGGGTTTCCAGCCCGTCAAGCAGGTGTGGACCCTGGACTCTGGGACCTATGCCAGATGGTTCTGCCAGGGCACCCAGGGATCCCCAGGGAGGGAAAAAGGACTCTGCTGGAAATGACCCATGCTTTCTCATCTCCGAGCTTTGCAGATGCCAGTCCCTCTGCCTACAACACCTTTCCTGACAGCACCTTTGCCTAGAGAGTGCTACTCATTGTTTAGGCCTTGGTTCCAATATCACCTCTTCTTAGAAAGGAAGCCTCTTCCATTGCTCCCCCCTCCAATCCTTGTAAAGTTTAGACAAATCCTTTCAAAGTTTGCCCCTTCAGGCTGAGTCAGGAGCACCCTTCCCCACTTGGGCCCCCTGCTCCCCCCTCCTGGAGCTAATTCAGTCCTAGCCCTGCCCCATTCTGGGCTGTCGCTATCTGGGCCCCCACTGGACTGTGAGTGAGGTCACCGGTGAGCGTGGATCTCTCTCAGTCACTTCAATGCTACAGCACAGGGCCGGGCCCAGAAGGGGCAATCTCAGCAACTCAACTCTGCAATCTGCTGACTAGGGAGAGGGGTTAGAAAGGGCCTAGGACTCGGACAGAGATGATTCGAGCGTTCGGACTGATGGGGAAACTGAGGCCACGCAGCACACAGAAAATCCGGGACAGAGTCAAAACCGTCTTCCCTGTCACGGGCTGATCTTTACCCAAAACCTCGCCTTCCTGTGCCCAGAGCAGTCTTTCTCAGCTGCCCCCGCCCCAACAGTCCCCGGAGATGCAGATGTTCTGGTCCCCCGGGCTCCACGGGCCCATTATCTCCCGAGCACCTCCCACAGGCTCCTCTCAGCCCATTTCCCCATCTTCCCACACCCGACGGAGACTGGCTCTTCATGGTGCTTCTCTCCACAGAGACCGTAGAGCTGGGGTTAACCTCCCACTCTTCACTTCCTGCAAGCTTGGGCTCTCTCAGAATAGACCTAGAGATGCAGAGTTAACGCCCCCGCCCTATCTGGGAACCTCCTCCCACCTAACGCCACGTGCGGCATCCCCACCCCACTGCCACCAAGGTCACTTTGCGGGGATCATCCGGCCCAGGCTGGTTCAGCGCCCCCTTTCCAGTTCTGTCTGGAAAGGCCGGCCCACCCTCACCGCGGCTCCCCGCGCCCCGCCGCGCGCCCCTCGGGGAATAAGCCACGTGTGCTCCTCCCCCTGCTTTCTGGAGGCTTCCTCCCCTCGCGATGCCTTCTCTTCAGGCACCAGGCGGGTAGCGAGGGCTGTTTCGGAACGTTCCACGCGCGCTAGTGCCTAGCGCCCCGCCCCTTGCCCCGGGGCTCTTTGGAAGGCTCCGCCCCGCGCCGCAGCCGAGGGGCGCCCCGCCCCCGAGCCGGGGGAACAGACTCCACCGCGCCGGCGTCCTGCGGCTTCCCGGGGCCCCGCGCCTCTCCCGCCTCTGCGGCCGGGGTCTCTGCGGAAAGGCCCCCACCCCCACCCCCAAGCAACCCCCGCGCTCCAGAGCCCCCGCCAGATCTCCGGCTCCCGCAAGGCCGCGGGGATCAGCGCGAGCGCGGGAGAGCAGCTCCCCCTTGTGGCCCTGTCCTCGGGAACTCGCGGCAAGCCCGATCCCGGGCTCGGAAGGAGAGACCCGCAGGACCTATGCTAAGGCAGAAAAGGCGTTAAAATGCAGACATACATGCATGCATAAAAAAAAAATTGGCGTCGCAGTCATGAACAACATTCTGCAGGCCCTGGATCAGCCGTTTGCTCCTTTAGGAAGTGCTCCCTGACTCCTCCCATCATCCATTCCTCCAGCTCCTCCTTGACCACCCTGCGGGTGCCTCCCGGGCCTGGCCCCCGGGCCTGGCCCCCTGTCCTGAGCACCTATGAAGGCGCACACACGTGGTGTGCCTTTCCGCAGTGTCAGCTCTATTCAATCGTAAAGCAAAGTTAAATCACAATTATGGAGCAGGTTCAGGATTCCAAACTCAATGACAATTCACCATGTGATTAAATTTGGCTTCTGACACAGCACACAAAGCAGGACAGAAGACAAGCCCGCACAACAAACAAGATAACAGAGGGGTGCAGGAAGTGAACGAACCAAAAGCAAAGTCAGTCTGTGGGCGCGCAGCTAAGATAAGGCCTCTGTCTGGCCCAGGTCAGCTCTTGACACTTACTGCTTGATGTTCAAGCCACGAAGGGTCTCGGTTCTGTCGGGCAAGAGCCTTCGGTGACAGTTGCCTTTTTTAAGTGGTCAAACATAGAGGGGTCAGGTCTGAAGAGTCTGACAGTTTGCTGCCAAAATCCTAACTTTTTAAAGGGATTTAATTGGTTTTGGGTCTCTGCAGACCTGCTCTGGTTCTGCTCCTTATCAGTTCTGGGGTGTCAGCTGATGTTGGTCCCCGCGATATCTCCTAGCTGCGGTACCTTAACTGCTTGTGTCATGGCTTGACACAGGCTGCTGCTTGACATGAGAGACTCCATTTTGCTCTCTACACCCCTTCCTCCCCCCGGGCTGTCACTGTCGGCCTGTGAAGGCAAGGACAGGGCCATCTGGGTCACCACGGTGCCTCCACAATCAGGGCACAGAGTAAGGCTCAGATGACCAGCGAGGCACCTCTTAGGGAGCATTCACTTACTCCCGCAACACACATTTTGCTTTGTTTTGATTTAAAAGCTTTATTGAGGGGTGCCTGGGTGGCTCAGTCTGCCTTCGGCTCAGGTCATGATCCCAGGGTCCTGGGATGGAGTCCTACATCCAGCTCCCTGCTCCGCGGGAGAGGGGGGAAGGGGGTCTGCTTCTCCCTCTCCTCCTGACTCTCCGCACTGCTCATGCCCTCCCACTCTCTCTCGAATAAAAAAAAAATTAAAAATTAAATAAAATACTTAAAAATAGTTCTATTGAAGTATAATCTACATATCAAAAATTTCACCCGTTTCAAGTGCTGTCATGATTTGGGGTTGACTTTACAGAGTTGTACATCCATCACCACGCCTCAATTTTAGAACATTTCCATCATCCTAAAAAGATTTCTTGGGCCCATCTGCAGTCATTCCCCATTCCCACGCCCAGCCCCAGGCAGCCATTGATCTCCTTTCCCTCACGTATGTAGCCTTTTCTTCATTTTACATGCATTTGCTGAATACTTGCTTCCATCAGATGTTAGGTGCTGAGAATACACAATGACACACACAGGCTCTGCCCTCAGGGAAGCCAAAGTCTGGCTGGGGCAATGGCTAATGGGAAAATATGTCCATGTGCTCAACCATTCATTCAAAACTATTTAATGTTTATTGAGTGCCTTCCAAGTGCCAGGTACTCAGGGTGCCTGGGTGGCTCAGTCGTTAAGCGTCTGCCTTCAGCTCAGGTCATGATCCCAGCATTCTGGGATCGAGCCCCTCATCAGGCTCCCTGCTCAGCGGGAAGCCTGCTTCTCCCTCTCCCACTCCCCCTGCTTGTGTTCCTGCTCTTGCTATCTCTGTCTCTGTCAAAAAAATAAATAAAATCTTAAAAAAAAAAAAAAAGTGCCAGGTACTACCCTAGGATCTAGGGATAGAGCAGTGGGGGGCGGGGGGAGAACAAAAATCCTGCTCTGCTGGAGTTGATATTTTAATGAGAGGATAAAAAATAAAGAAATAAACAAGTAAATGTGTGATACAATGGCTGGTTGAGAGTTATGAAGTGTTATGAAAAGAAGTAAACCAGTGGAAGGGATAGAAAGTGATGGGGCGAGGGGCGCCTGGGGGGCTCAACCAGTTAAGCATCGGACTCTTGGTTGCGGCTCAGGTTGTGATCTCAGGGTCCTGGGAGTGAGCCCCACATCTGAGCTTCCGCACCAGGGCTCCCTGCTCAGCGGGAGTCTGCTTCTCCTGCTCCCTCTGCCCCTCCTCCCTGGGCGCGCGCG